TTCAGTAGTTGAGATCAAACTCAAGAGTCTCCACTTTCCCTGCAGTCTCTGTGCTGTTTGCTGTTAAAGAACAGCTTCTCTGCTGCCTCTAACTGATAGAGCTACAGCAGCTGTAATAACTTCATTGCTGGTTTTGCTCTTTTTCCTAACTTCTAATCTCCCTCATGGACATTCACTAATCTCTCATTTATATTTAAATCACAACTTTATGCAAAATGTCTGGCTCATGAGGCAAATGAGGCTTGTTGCTGTTTCAAGCTCAATTTAAGTGAGTGATAGCATGATGAAGATGCAGGAAAAGCCAAATGTTTTGCCCCCTGAGGGGCAGGCTTTGACCTCTCCATGAAAATTGAGAAATAAGAAAGAAAAGGGAGAAACAAATAACTATATTTGTATATATATGACTCACAACATATGTAACTGATTGTTTATTACCTTAACCTAAACTAACCTAGAATCATTATGGACCAGTGTTTGCACCCTAGAGTGCATCTGGTCCTATAAAATGACCTCATATTTCCTGGTTGCTATGCAGTCGTGCAGAACAAACATTGGACCTGTGACTCCCACCGGATGGATGCCAAAACCATTATAGATTGAATAACATGTTTAATGGTGGTAAACAGACGTTGTAGGTCAAATGCATCCTTTGGCTTTCTTCAAATTCAACCCATTCTGAATTTAAAAAAAGACGCTGAAATATGACTCATTAGTTCTCTATCAGCCCTTCAGCATCTCTGCTCCTTAGACCACATTTTGCATCTTTGTGTTGACCTTGGATACAAGTGGTGCACAAATTGCATATCTGGTATAGAAATCCTAGCTTTGGGATGCTTATGATGTGTGACATTCAAGTGGAAATTCAATTCTAAACCGAGTAAGTAGGCAGTTTGTCCCTGTTTGAAATAAGTTGTCATAATTTTCAAGAGTGTTCCCTCTGCAGCATTCAGTAATTCTCAGTTTTCTGACAGATGCACCTGCAGTTTGAGTTGCATCTATTGTTCCTTTTAGTAGCTCTGTTTGTCGTATTTTGTTGAGTTTTAAACTCACATTCTCTGAACTCCTGTAATGCTACCACATATCGCTAATTAGTATTCAAATGAAAATGACTTGTCTGTTTTGCTGCTTTGTAATTGTGCTTTAGTTTATTTAAATTCACAGTCCCTTTTTCACAGGGTATCTTCAGCATTTTGTCCATTCACTGTAGCATAATAAAGCGTCATGTGTCTACTTCTGACCTTTGTTAATCGCTATGAAACTTGTTTTTGAGAATAAAAATCTAAACTTTAATTGCACACATGTCCGTTTCCCACCTTTCTGCAGGGTTAAGTTTTGCTTATACAACCTTGTAACACTGAAAGCTGACAGACCTTTACGGTGAGCCTTCGTATTTGTGAATATGCTGAGTATTGTAGCTGCTAACGGTGTTTGACATTTTATGCATGTATTAGTTTGTGCTCCTTTAAGTATGAATGGGTGCCTGATGAGTGTGAATGTGAGTGCCTGATTTGCATCACTGCAGACTCTAATTATCATCTATCCTGAATATATACAATCCATAAAAAATATTTGGATGCAAACAACTGTTCTTGAAGATTTTCTTTTAAAAGAATACTTTATAGACATGATAAATATGCCATAGTTTCGAAAATAATTGACATCTCCCCATTTAGGTTATAATTGGTGAATAAAATGTTTTTTAGCCACATGGCTCTAGGGATGGCAATGCCAGTCTGCCAGTCAGTCAGCCAGCCACTTTGGTCCAGACTGAAAATCTCAGAAATAATGAATTTATTGCCACCAACAACCGGTTGACATTTTTGTCATTTAGCATGCATTGTTGTTGTGAGCATGATGGCATGGTGACATTAGAAGTTAGCTCAAACTATTGCTGTGCTTAATAACAGCCTCACAGAGCTGCTGTAGCCTTGTTAGGCTTGTTAAAGCAAGGGTGAGGTGGACCTGCAACATGTGGACACCAGAATGTAAGGTAGCAATTGTCAAATGAAATAAAAAGTAGCAAAAGTCGTATTTTGATCCTGTGGAGTTCATCGTATATCTATCTCAGTACAGTAGCTCTGTACTCTGTATGATTGTAGGATTTAACCAAAGGAAAAACAGCCATGCAAATAAGCCGAGCTGAAATTGCTCTAGTGCTGTAGGTTACAGTGTGTCAGAGTAATAATCCTGTTAGATATGTTAGCCAAGAATCCATGAATACAAAGGAGGTACTTGCTTTGATTTCATGTGTGGTAGAAGTATAGGGATATCCACTGTTTGAAATTTCAATATCTAAGACCTTGTCATTTTGGTCTAATTTGTCTTATTAAGTACCGTCACAGGACTTTATTCCCACCAGTGCACCCAACTCTGCACTTTGAATATCGGCACTCTTATTACATGGATTTCCATTACTTGGCTTTTCATTGAATTGACAGGGAAGGAAGTGACTGAGAAATGCCCTGAAATATACACAGCTTTACAAAGTTTTGTGTTGATTTAACTATTTCCTTTTGCATTTAAATTTATTTATTTCTCCTTTCAGTATCAACTGAATCCTTTTAGAATAGTGTTCCTTAATTTATCTGCTCGCACTAAAAAAAGAGAGCCAAACTCCATTTCTTTTCCATGTTATGAAGAAATACTATTTTTAATATACAGGTTGAGTGGGCTGTTCAGTTTAATATATATTCTTTAATATACCGTAATAAAAGGATATAAAGAATATAAATATTAGTATAATTCAACAAAATTTAGATAAAAGCATGAAGCAATTCCACTGTGTATTAGTCATATTGCTACGTGACTATTAGACATCTCATTTGTGTGCTTGTGCTTTTATTCCTTTTAGACATAGAGTGGAGAGAAGAAACGTTAATGTAAGGACTTTAAATGCCCTCCAGTGACCTCATTCCATCAGATTTTCAAAGCTCAACAGAAACACTCCAAGTAAGGAATTGATGCATAATTAGCTGCAGCAGTGGCAGTTCTGGTAAAAATGAGGAATCAGTTTTTTCTCCTCTGTCATGCACTGTAAATAAATTATTTGCTTGCAAAGCTTAAATTAAAAGTTGTTGATTAGGTGATTGGAGTGAGGGTCCACGCTACTTCTTAGCTTAAAGTCTCCCTCCACTCAAAATTTATTTTCTTCTTGTTCCTAAAGTTGAATGTTTGAGCTTCACTATGCAGAATGGTGTATGCACAGACTTTGACACTGGATGAATGTTTTCAAATCCGTCTGCTGAAAGTGTAAAGTTTCTCTCTGCTCATAGAAAATCTGATTTTAAGGGGCGGATCTAAGAGCATGCTTCACAAATTCATCACAAATTGTTTGGAAGTCAACCCTGGTCCAGTATGCAACTTCCACAAGTGTGATGTAGAAACTTGAAGCCTACAGCGCACATACACTGAGAATCTTGTGTCTTAGGAGGTAAGAGAAGTAGATGCCTTTGTAAGGATTTTAATATGGACATTATACTTTTTTAGGGGAAAAAACATATCAGACACACATTATTGTTGCAAGCAGACTACTTGTATGTCTGGAGGGGATCTTTAATCACTTAGTAAATCTACATTGATCAAACATTACTATCTATTTTTTAGTTAATGTTTATTTGAATATCCTTAAAGAAATATTTTCACATTTTGCAGAGAGTTAGATGAGAATACAACTTTAATATCTATCTGCTCCAGCTGGGAGATGGTTCCCTCACTAATAAACACATTATATCTTGTTTGGTACAATTAATGATGTGTATGAAAACACATAGGGGGTTAAGCTAAGTTGTTTCCAGGTTGTAGCCTCATATTTAACATACAAATATGAGTACTATCAATCCTATCATCCATCACTTGGTAAGAAAGCAAATTAGCAGATTTTCCAAACTATTCCCATAAGGCCCATGTTGATTTTTAGCCATGCTAGAGACATGGCTCTAGGGATGTCGACAATGTTGGCCGGTTGGTGTATTCACCACTTCGGTCCAGACTGAAAAATCTCAAAAACTATTACATGGATTGGATGAGGTTCCCAGAGGATGATTTCTACTGTCTTTGGTGAAACTCGCTTTTCCTCTAGTGCCAGTCATATCTTTCACTTTCCCTGTAAACTCAATCTACTGAAGGGATTGGTACATTTAGTAAAAATATCAGTGTGCCTTTTATCTTACTGATTTTGGTAATGTAAGATTTTTAGTAGCACCACCATGAGTTTGACATTTTAGTTTTTAATAAAATATGACAACTGTCCCCCCAAAAAGATGACTTGTTCTCACTTTGATCACCTGACATTTAAAGTACCATTACCTGGTGAAAATGTAAATTTTTCATACCTGAAAAACTAATGACATTCCCATCAACCTAATTATCAAATGTTAGCATGCTAACATGTCAAACTAAGATTGTGAACATGGTAAAAAATTATAACCTATGTACTAAACATCAATATGCTAGTATTATAATTGTGAGCATGTTGGCATGTTTATGTAAGCAGTTAGTAGTCTCAAAGACTGCTAGCATGGCTGTAGACTCTAAATCCTGTTTTATTAGTGTGCTATTAGCTGTGGTACAATATGTACACTTGCTAAAAATAATTATTACTTTCATCTTTCTTTTCTCAAATAATTTTATAAGACTGTGCACTCACAGGATGATAAATACTGATGGATCACGCTTAATAAGGCATAAAGCAAAGAGTCATAAAACTCTCTGTCCTTATATAAGAGCGAGGCTGCATATTGACAGTATGCTCTGAAGCTGCCTTCATACTGCTGCTCTGTAGGAGAATTATTTATCTCTTGCTCTATTCCTGGGAGGATGCTGTTGACAGCGTCTCATCTCACTGTCTGAGTACCACCGGCTTCCATTAGGGCAGGAATTGCAATATGATGTCTTTGTGGGAGGTTCACCAGTTGCACTACGTTTAAAAGCTTTTAAAACAGAAGTAATACTGAGGCAAAGAAAGAAAACATTTATTGTTTATGAATGTGGTGTCACACAGGTCCTGTCAGAAAAGAACAGGGAGGTGAGGTCTTGGTTTGAGGTCTCTGAAATAATCCTGCCTCCCCTCTTCTCTTTCAACAGGCAGCTGGACTTTGGAATTGTTCCCATCAAGAACAATCAGCACATTCGTGTAAAAGCGATACATTGCAATTGCAAAAGACAGTCTAACATTCCACATGACAACTAGATTTTACATTTGTGATGCCCACTGTAGTTTATATTGTTATAAAAATTTACAGAATAACATTTTTGTGTCTCAGTGCAAAAGATATATTCCAAAAGAATTTCAGAAAAGCCGTGCCCTTGATAAATGTCCCCCCACGTCTCCCCCTGATCTGTGCCCAACAGTAAAATAATTGGCCTGTTTACAAGACCACCAATAAATAACCAATAGAAGCAGTTTTACAGTCACCGTCAGATAGCAGCAGTGTTTCAGCTTTGACTTTAAATACATATTCACAAACAACTGTGTGTCACTGTACACCCACAATTCATCAGAACAACTTTAACTATAGATAATAATAATTACAGTTGTATTGATAATAATTACCATGACAATAACAACCAAAAAAAGAAACCCAATGTGTCACATCTGCATTAAAGTATGTACATTGCTTTTTCAAGTTCTGTGGCTTAATTTCCCGTGTGTGAATTTCCCAAGTAAAAGAAGGCAATGAAGTGTCTCTAAGGTAAAAGGTTGGGAGTGGGGAGTTTATCAGCTGGTACAGATGCTGTTGATGGAGATGATGGCAGGGTCCACCAGGCCCAGCTCCTCATGCTCGTTAACACACAGCTGATACCCGCAGCCTCGCCTACGCTTTAGCGGGGTCACCTTGGCATCGGGCTTGGCGCGGGGCGGCAGGAGGAAGCCCACACTCCCTGCGATCAGCATGTGCCAGATGCTGTGGATGTAGAAGTAGTTCTCCTCGGTCTCCACAAAGGCGTAAAGGGCCACGGCAGACGTGGCGATCATGGTTCCCGGGAAGAGGAAGAACACCCAGCGCTTCCAAGTGGGCGGGTAGCAACGTCGCCTACGGATGGTGCGCACCGTCTGACAGGCCAATAGACACATAAAACAATTTTAAGTTTACAACTTCACCATTTTGACCTATTTACTATTAAGTTTAAAATAGCAAAGTTTAAACTGAAGAAAATAAATGTTTTTCATGGCTTGCGTTGAGGTTTTACAGGTCCCTTAGTTTTTTTTTATATGTTGCCAAAGGGAGTGGATATCTAACTATTGTTTCTTAGGAGGTTTCCTGGAATTTTGTTGTAGGTAAGATAACATGTTAACAATAAGTACACTTGATGAATACCCGCTAATTCATTTTACTTTTATTATTAATTATTTACTTTTTTTCTTCAGTGTCCCCCAACTGTCCTGAATTCTACTTTCAACTGTCCCAGACTCCAAAACCATTGTCCCAAATTGAATCTCTTAATAACTTTGTTTCAGTAACTTACATCACTTCAGTTACTCAATCTGGTCCGCCATGTAAGTTCTGCTAGTTGTTCCAATTAAATTTTAATTCTGTTTTATTTGTATTTATTTGTAGTGCCAAATCATAACAGAAGTTATCTCAGGACAATACACAAATATTGCAGGTTGAGAACATAATTCCCTGCGCTTTTATCAAAATAAAAAAATTGGAAGCATCCTCTCTGTTCATTATTCTTTTACTATTTGGTTGAGTCACTGTTATTTGTCTATTTATGTTTGATCAGTAAATGCACCACAGCAGTGCAAATGCACATCTTTCTGATTGGTGTACAGCGATGGAAATGTACATACATACACGGTCAAAATTACTATTATTTAGTCGAATAATCACAAACTCACAACAGCGACATCATATATTTCATATTCATATATAAGTAAAAATGTTTTAAAACAAATCAACAAAGACAGGAAGAAGATCAAGAAAAACAATTTAAATATTTACAAGCTCAAACAAACTATTTCCATATAAGCTCAAGGATAATCCACAGGTCCGGATAGAACGAATGAGTGAAAGGCTCAAACATGGCCCACATGCCACATCTACTGACTGCCTGTGCACAGCGAAAGAGAAGAGGGAGAGACCTCGACGCTGTTGGCAGGAGAGTCATGGACACAATATATACAATACAATACATCTGAATATAATCAACCCTAATGGTCTAAAAAACTTGCTACATGTATCGCTAGTTGCTTTTTAGGAATAATGTTAAAAGGGTTGGAAAAGTCACTAATTGTAGTGAGAAAGTTGGCGACTCTGACTGTGTATGATTGATTTTGTGTGTGTAAGCATCTGTCTGACATAGCATTGCACTTGTGCCGGTGCTACCTCACCTTGAACAGCTAACACCTAATAATATTTCATGACGCATGACCCCGGAACAATAGGAAACTAATTTCAAGAGCTGGAGTTTGAAGCAGTTTATAAGAAGCTGTTTCCACAAAGAATTTCCAGGAAAGAACTGCACAACGCAAATAACTTTAACGATTTGAAAACCCAGGTAAATAATTATTTAATTTATTCCCATGTTTGTTGAATTGTCTGTAATTTAAAACCACACCAAATCAGAAAAACATTTAGCTTTTTATTTATGTTAATCTGACCTGTTCACTACTGAGTAAAGCTGGATTTATTCTTCTCCAGGCTGCACATAAGCATACACACACAGGAGTCATTCAGACATGTTTTGCAAGTGTATAAGTGGGGGTATAAAGTCATGTTTAGCAAATGCCACGCAGAAAAAAATAGGAAATGGAAATAAATTCCACTGTTAACAGACCCCAACATCTGTGAAACATATGTGAAAGAATTTGGATTTATTAATATGACAGGATGGGTAACAGGATGGATCATTAAGTTCCTTCAAGCATTTAGTATGAATTTAGCTTCCTATGCTCTGCTAGAAGATCAATTGTGGCAATATTATGCTGCACGGTATGTCCAAAATGCTCTAAATGCTTTACTAAAGAATTTGTTCTAAATGTACGTTAGCCTACATGTTGTTGAGATTTGAGATGTGTGCACATCAGCTGCTCTGCGTGTTTCTCTGGAAAAGCACAATTCCATCTTAAAACGCTGTCTTGCCTATACTAGAAATTGAAAATAAAATGTGCCAATTAATGTCATTTCAATTGTTGCTGTAATTTGTCTCAAATTAAACAGCCCTTTCCAAGAAATGTTTAAAGAAACAACAGTTATATATCAATTTCTTTCTAGAAAATTATTAGGAAACTCTGGGACCCATAAAATAAACCATTTTACAGTTTATTTCTTTTGCAATTGATCTCAAAGGCTCTGTGTTTAATGTTCTCATTTCCTTAATTTAATGAACACATGTCATGTAGAAACAGGATATTGAAGTGGGAGATCATACAGGGAGCAGTCATTCAAACATTGAGACCAATAGGATTTCAGAGAGGGAGCAGCAGGCAGTTTACTTTGATTGGAGCAACAGAGAGAAGGGATTCCTCATAAATCTCCATTGGTTTTATTGTCTGAAATTTGTATTCATGACTACTACTGCAGCATAAAGTCCATCAAAATGATCATAATAACCTGATAGATGTTTTAAATTGGTCATCATTGATTGGCTAGTCACCACTTTGGCCATTTTGTTATTTATGCTCATGTTCCTTTTGGCAGTAACTGGATATGATGTCTCTATTTGTTTAATATAGAGAATGTGCTCATTCTGTAAGTGGCTCACAATTGCTGAAAGTGTAGCACAGAGAGACTTAGACATTTCATTTCATTTCTTTCTAAATGGTGTTTAGAGAGTGCTTCATTACTGTATTCAGTCTCTATTTTCATCGGTTCATAAACACTGATTGCTTGCACTATATTTTGTCCCAAAACATTACTATAAAGAATCCCTACATTGTCGAGGGAAATGTAAACTGTTCATGAATGACAAGAATAATTACATGTATTCTAGCAGGAAAATGGCTCTGATTGAGTTATTAAGCTGTATACATTTTAGGTTAAAGACTAATACTCTATGTGAATCCCAGTGAAGAAAAACATGAAATGTGTTTGACTGTTCCAGTCCCTTTGGACCTACACATTTCAGACCTGGACGGTCTTTTCATGCATAAGTCACGGGCCCTATTCAGTTTGGAGAATTAGGGATATTTGGCATTGACAGAATTGAACTTCTCCTCTTCTTCTTAGTGTTCATGACACCACTGCAAAGCAGTAAGCGCTTGTTCTGTGCCCTCCGCTTGACTGATCTAATTCGGTTGTGTCTGGGAACATTCAGAATGCCAGGCTTTGCAGAAACATGACAAGTTGAAATGAAAGGGCTCTTGTAGAAAATGTGTGGTGCTGAAACTCAGAGGTGCAGCACTGAGGAGAGACTGCTGAAATGTAGACATACGCTACTGAGCAGCTGATAAATTATGAAGTGTCAAATAATCAAAGCATGAGGCCAGGTTTATCTTTAAAAAATGCCAACACTAGCATCCAAGATCCAAGTGACTTTTTATGGAGAAGTTGTGATGCTGAGTTTACTATTGTGGCTAGTTAGTGTGCAGTTCATCGTCACTGGAAGATCAGAGATTGTGTCTGTCTGTCATTTTCACACTGCACAAAATCGGTGTCTACTTCCATTCTGTAGATATTGTCACAGTATACCAGACCATGATATTTGCATTTTGTGTTTGTCAAATAACATATGTCAGTGAGTCATCTATAATTGAATTACTAATGTGCCAACACCTAAGGACAACTAGGCAAATAGTGGAAGCCAATGGCTTTACGTAAATTTCCATATATACTCACATTTGAATGATACATTAGTGCCGTGCATGAATTTTGAGGCGCTATTGTTAATCTCAGAAGAAAAGAATTTTGTGTATGCTAAAATATACTGTCTCCTACTTCTGGTGGAGTACTATGTAAAACTGGAGGGTTTACATAGTGGAATTAAACAGTTCTTCATCTTCCACTGTTTCTGTGGAATCCTACAGCTCACAGAAAGATAACTCTCAGAGCTACAACTCCCACACTTTATTCAAAGCAAAGCTTTCTCCAAGGAAGCCACAAACCTTGTTTTCAAACTCATGTCAGAGGTTTGGTGTTAAAGGTTTTTTTTTTTCAAGAACCTTGCCTGAAAGACTATTATTTTTTATCTTCTCAGTTCAGGGAGCACATTATGACTCGGAGAAGAGTCAGTGAAAGTACAAGCTGACTTATAATGGAACTACAAGCCATGACTAATACCCACAGGCTGCAAAACTTTTAAAGCCCCTTCCATGCTAATGTAAAATAGCTTCATTGGTCAGAAACCCATAGTTTTTAGCCGTGCACATGTTCCAGCCCCATGTTCCAGCCGTAAGCTTAAATGATGGATTAAGTCCTTTTACACTTAGTGGCATGAGGAACAATAGAGGGACAGTGCTGGCACATTTCATCTGCATGTCTGAACAAGCTTGTCTATGAATGTCAAACACACATTATGTATTAAAACGAATAATCTTTTATCCTGAGTAAAAATTCCTTGTAGACCAGTTGCTCACACAGTGTAACAAGTAACATTTTTTGGGGAAGAAATCAATCTTAACTCCTGAAATACAGGATAAGAAGCTTCAATTTTGTTATATTTCCATTAGATGCTCCATTTTTTGCTTTAGAGCACTAGTCTACTGTGCAGTAAACATAGAAGTTGCCCTTACCCATGCCACGGCCATGATGCCCAGAGCAAACAGGCTGGGTCCCAGCAGGTTCCACAGACCGTGACGATCTAGCTGCAGAGCCATGGACAGAGACATTGCCCCCAGCAGATACAGCACCTTGACAAAAAAAAAAACACATGGATCAATAACGACCCTCTATAAACACTGCTGACACAGTTACTTCCACAGTAAATGAGGGGATGGTTGCGTTTGGTCAAGAAACAGCACATTGCTGGTTTTGGAGAGAAAAAAAATACTGTTCAAATTGTAATTTCCTCCCCCACACGTATGAAAAACGGTAACAAAAGCTTTGCAGTTGCATCACAAATCTTTTAGTAATGATTGACGGTTACTGAAACACCGGAAGATGATTTTCAGCTACTGTACATGGAACTCTGTTTTCATTATTTCTGCACCTGTGTCCTGTTTTTTGGATGTGAGAGTTCTACTTTTCCTAACATAGCTAGTGCATTCATGGAGGTCTTGTAGAGAAATGTGTTGCTGCAAAAGGTTGAATGTAACACAAACAGGCAGGAAAAAGGAAACCTATGCCTTATTGTGTCGTGGGTCCAAGTCCATTTTACAAAAGGTTAAGGAAAAATCATAGTATTGTGAAGGAGACTTGAAATATCATGTCTGCAGTTATTTGGTACTAGGAAGGAGTTAACAGTTTGTTGTTGGCTCTGGTATGTTAACTAGCCAGCAAACTATTTGAAAAACCATATATATAAACCATATAGGCAGGGCTGTAGAAAGTCTATATTTTTCTTATGGCCAAGCAATCCAATGAAAGGATGATCATCAATAGTGAATTGATCCTACTAACATGTACTGTCTGTGTAAGTCTGATACAGTTTATTCCTCTGTGCAATAGCCCTATTAAAACCCACACTGTTGCACTGGGTGACATTTTCCTTCATTATCATGAACACACACACTGTAGTTTATTTTGACTCAATCCCACATACAGCAGCCTGCTGCAGTAAATATGCACTAGAGCACCAAATGTGTATTAATCTGTGACTGAATAGCCCTCAACAAATGCACTATTTACTGTTTTTTATACAAAACTACAGTGGCCAGTTGTTTTAGGAGATTAGCCTTTTGTTTTTTAATGAAAAAATATATTTGTGTTCTATTGTTAAAGATTTACATCTGACAGAGCAGTTATTTAGAGACACGTTCTTTGTTCTTTTAATGGGATTTCTTGAGAATTAGACAGATATAAAATAATGCCAGTTATACTGTAATGTTAACAGCCACTACAAGCAGGTTTTCACATACAGCATGCTAATCTGCGTTTCCGTCAAATTGGCATTGTATTGGTAGTGGTTTCAGAGTAATACACCACATGAACGTCCTCTTTATAAGTGAGAGCCACAAAACAATGATAACAAAACTAACAATAGAGGCCCATGCTATAAATAATACCAACTTAACTTTTTTCTGTCAAGCTCACAATTTGACATAAAGCCACAGGATATAAAAGAGATAAAGTGAGAGGGAAAAAAATCAATACCCTGTGCTACACATGCTTTGGGAGAACTTAAGCCTGTCCAGGATGCCTGAAGTCTGCGCTCTACTGCCTGGCAGGGAACGTGAGGAGAAATTGGGGATTTTCGAGCCGGGAAGGGATGACCCGTCTGCAGGAGAACAGGACTAATTGGCACAGAGCAAGGAGGAGAAGAGCAGCGTGGTACAGCCCGAGGACTGTGCAGCAACAGTCATCAGTCATAGTGCACCCAAACATGCATGTATACATGAATTATATTCAGGCATGAATGCGTGGACGCTCACAGGCAGGGGGTTTTGCTGTAATGAATCTTTATCTGTCAATGTGATGGACGAGCTTGTAGGAATTCTATTTTTAACTACCACATATATTTTCATGCTTATCAATATACAGTACAATAACATGGACTTATATTGTATTTGTGCATGTGTGGCTTACAACATGCCTAATGCTATGCTGCTACTATAAGCTGTCTTAAAAGGTTTCAGAGCTTTCAACCAAATCTTATGGTTATGTGCAAAAGACCTTGGAGCTTCACCATCTTCTCACCACGTAGAAAATAATAATTTATTATTGCTGAAACCTTGTGTTTCTGCATTATTACATGTGCTTTCACGGCTCTTGGCACCAATTTTACAGATTTGGCTGCCTCTACCAAACATAACAGTTTACTCAGTTTCAACATCAAGGTGGCTGTTCAAAATTCCTACCTGCACTCAATAATGTCTGTCCATCTGCTGATTTGTTTGTCTAAATATTATACATAATTGTGGTACAATATGCATCATTTGAATAACAAACACTTTATTCAGAGAGCCCGCCTACAGATAGTAGTAGTATAGTATTTGTAACATTTAAATAACTTGTTAGAGATTCAGCAGCTCATTTCTGACATTACACCACTGCGGTTTGGGTAAGTTTAGGCATAGAAAACATCTTGGTTAGGGCATATGTGTACGTGAATTGTCACATGTACTCTACAGACACAGTGAAACAGTTGAAATGTTACCAGTTATCTATAAACTACTTGCAGGCAGTCTATCCAAATAAAGTGTTACCCAATGTTGCAGCACTCAGACTATCAGAATGATGAATTTTGAAAATGAAAATTAATGCTATGGTCATTTTTTTTAAATTAGTAAATGAACACAATCTCTTTATACAAGATATACATATAATATAAATTATATTTGATGGACTATAAGGATAACAGATTAGATATGATTTCTGTAATTGTGGCCATTTCTAATTGTAACATTGCACTTGCCAATTAATTAACAAGTTAATTGGCAAAATCTGGGAATGCATGGACATCAATTGTGTGGTTAAGATCATCTCACTAAAATGTTCTCATGCTTCAAGTCCTGTTGTACTCGGATCTCAGCAGTTACTTCGGTGAGAACAAGGTTATCGTAACCGCTCAGTAAAAGAGGGTCAAATATACGAAGAGGAGATTCATAATGTAATAAAATGTAATTATCCTTTAAATTGATTTATGTGATTGTGATGCAGTAACCTTCAGCAAGTAGAGATTAAAATACCTCCTGAAGCTCTTTCTTCATGTGAACCAGCAAAAATGTCCTTGCATGATATTCTGCTGACACATTTGTGAGGACTTTTAGACCTTTGAAGGTCCAAAAGTCATGCACACATACCATCAGGTGCTCCCTGGGTCCTTCACCCTCCACTGCTGCTGTGGTCATTGATATAAACAAACAAACACACACACAAACAAACAAACACGCACACTGTCTCTCTCTAGTACACAAACACACACAGTTCCACTTGCCAGTCCTGACATGTGCGATTTGATTAGTGACTGCGTACTGCAGCGCTCAGCAAAAATGAAAACTCTAGAGGACAGCAGATGTTCGTACACTCTCCCTCCCTCCCACTACTCCGCCTCCTCTTCCCCTCCCCCTTCTCTCTGTTTCATTTATGGACAGGGACACACACATATAGACACACACA